TTATTTTTTTTAAATAATCCAAAATGCCTTAAGAAGAATAATGTATCCGCGTGTAGTGTTGTTCCCACCTGGCAACAGGCGGCTGAATCCCACCGCCTGTCGGATCTCTTCCAGCGAARCCCCCCTGGCTCCCAGCTCCACCATGCCGAGGGCCACGGCCACGCTCAGCGGGGAGAAAAGGATGTTCTCTTGACCCCCCGCCGCCTCCAGCCGATGGTACAGTCTGACCGAGAACTCTGAGGTAGTGTCCTCTGGAATGTCCGCCGCCCGGCAACCGTAGCCCGGCAACAGGATGGAGACGAGGAGGAGGAGGAGGAGAGAGGGGAAAGCGTCCGGCATCAACATCGCGGCAGACTGCTGAGAGCTGAGAGAGGAAGCAGAAAATAATGTTGTCAGGACTGTGGGGTGAAGTGGGTTTGGATGGATGGATGGATGGATGGATGGATGGATGGATGGATGCAGAAAAAGAATAAATATCAGGAGAGGATAGACAATCAAAGAGAAGTGAGGCAAACAGATGGCTGAAAGCGAGACGTGGCAAGAGGAGATCTGTGGAGTGAAAAAGAGCTGAGGAGTAGAGAGAAGAGGATTGTTAGCAGGAAACTGAGAGGTGAAAATAAAGCAGGGTAGCAGAGCRGAGGGAAAGGAACACAACGAGATAGAAGCAGGGAAGATTACTGCATAAGAGAAGAACAGATGAAGGACAAGTGGATTTAGGGAAGTGACAGATGGAGACTAAAGGGAGAGCAGGGATGTGGGATGATGAGGGGAGAAAAAAAAAATCAAGAGACCGGAGAGGCAGAACGGTTTCTGTCAATCGTTACGTCATTTTAAACTCTATGGCCAAATCATGTACACTAAACCTAAAAGGTGCCAGTCCACCTGTTTATTAACAAAATGTAGTCAGCATCAAATGGGATGCTGATCCATGAGACGGAGCAACGAGAYATATGACATGAGCTTCAGGTAGACATTAATATGTGTCTCAACACAATTTTTGTGTTGAAGCGATGTTTAGATTTTAAAGATACTTAAATGTATAATGAATTTTTATCGTGGCGGCACGGTGGCTCAGTTGGTAGAGCTGATGCCTCTCAGCAAGAAGGTCTCCGGATCAAATGGTAACCTTTCTGGGTAGAGTTGGCATGTTCTCTCTGTGCATGCATGGGTTTTCTCCGGGTACTCCGGCTTCCTCCCACAGACCAAAAACATGACTGTTAGGTTAACTGATAACTTTAAATTGTCCCTAGGAGTGAGTGAGAGAGTGAATGGTTGTTTGTCTCRTTTGTCTCTATGTGTGGYCCTGTGATGGACTTGCAACCTGTCCAGGGTGTACCCCGCCCCTCGCACTGTGACTGCTGGATATGGGCACCAGTGACCCTGAAAGGAAGAAATGGGTATAGATAATGGATGGATGAATTTTTATCATCATAAATGATCCCTCTCATTCGAAATACACATCCATTCCGATCGAGCTGATTCAGATCAGAATTTTCCGACTGGGGCGTTTACATGATGCAYTTTTATTCTGGTTGGCTGTTTGTTCCTACTAGTTATGTCCATGTAAACATAGCTTTTAAAAACAGAGGTCTCARCATTTTGCATATTATAAACTAGGGTTGGGCGATACTGGCAAAAAAAAAAAATTCACGATGAACTGTGGTATTTAGCCTATAACGATTAATATGACGATTAATCCCTAGAGTCCCTGGACGCCTTCATATCTTTGTCACATGACCAATTTAAATCCCTGTGGCATTAATCGTATTTCTGAAGTTTTTCTGATGATTAATTGCACACAATACGATTTTGCAAAAAAACTGATCATGATTAAATGTGGCATTTAGTTGATACTGATTAATTTGACGGTGTGGCCTTGGTCCGCACTTTCTGGCTTTCCTTATATTCCTGTTTATGTCGGTGTTTCAGGTGATTAAGCAAGTATAGGGTTAGGCTGCGCTGCCTTCCACCACTGGACTCACGTGATGTACGTGTGTTGCACCATGTTTCTGGTGCCGCTGTCRCCAGGCAACATCGTTTTGTGCTGGCCAAACAAAAAAAAAAAAGGTCAGTGATTTACGGCACAAACATGGAGAAAGATATTGAACACTGACATGGTGATAAAGAGATGAAAGAGACGTTTGTTCTGTTTCTCTGTTGTGAAGCTGATGCTTCCAATTAGCGGCTGGAATCTGCTGGCGGGTGCCGTGTATGTGTGACGGCAGGTGACTGGGCTGTCAACAACATCCGCAATGGGCATCAGGCAGAAAAATAGTGCCCCATCCTGCTGTGTATACAGTCCTTTCTTCTTTGACACGTGACTGTTGCCCTTCCTGATCTAAGCATACAGACCGTACGCTTCATTTTCACCTGTGTGTTTCTGCTGCAGGCAGCCGCTGTTCCCCAGAAACCATTAAAAACTAATCAGGAGATCACATTCCTGCACTGGTAGATTCTTAGTTTCACTTTAACACTGTCATAGTGCTAAAAGAAAATACTTAGGGTTGGAAATAATTTGAAACAATAGCTACATGTTTCCACTTTATATAGACTAGAGTGAAAAGCATTTTGAACAAAGAAAAGTTTACCTGCAAAAAATAAAGGAAACTGGGCCAAATAAACAGCCATATTTTTCAAATAACAACAAGAATGTGAGTCTGTGTACATATATTTTTCTTTACAAGAAACAATTATGTTCTCTAATACAATCCCAACTTGTTAGTCATCCATAAAATTCTCCTGATACTTTGCTTTTGACTACAACCGATAAGCTGCCATCAAAGGAGCCAGACAAAAGTATAATGTACAAAAACAGTAGAATAAAAAAAACAGCTGTATTACCTGTGTAACAAACAATATGTACCAAGTCAAATGTATCTAAGTTAGTATAGGATAAATGTAAGGATTTCCTTTTATAAATACATATTGACATTTTTGTGTTTTCAATGATCAGTTTTCTGCAGCAGCCATCTTGGAAAGCTTTGAGTCTAACCATATTTACTGTAGACTTTACAGTAATTTAAACATAATTCATGGACTAAGCAGACATGGACCTCATACTGCCTGTTCTCACATGCCACGCTGTTTATTTGATGTTGCCAAGAGAAACAGAACGATCCAGGGGGCGGCAGAGTGTAGCGAGGGGGTGTAGWGGGGGTTCTGGCAGAGAGGAAAAAGCAGCTAATGTTTCTGACCTTCTGAGCTGCTGRGAGCTGAACTTTTCAGAAACAGTCGCTCCTGTTTTCTGTAAGGAAAGACCCAGCGATGCAGCTGAACCCGGGACAGTAGTGTGGAGCATGACTGTGTGTGTGAGTGTGGATGTGTGAGTGGATAACAACGCCACAGCTGGTGGTTGTTTTTTTTTTTTTTCACTTGAAATGGTGACACCCTTCTAAAATTTGGAGTGGTATAGCGCTCAGTCAACAAAGGGGTTTCCCGAAACACTGTGGAAGCTTTGGCTGGTGGTAACTATAAACACGTTAGCTCAGGTGGGCAAGCATACCTCCATACATAAGAAAGACAATTAATAAGTTAAATTTAAACTTAAAGAACTTCATAGTGCCCACCACCTTTCATGCTGTAGTTGTAAAGTTATCCTTGATTTGTTGTAACATTAGATTTTATTTGATAAACATTTATTTTAACTGTAAAATAAAGACTGTAAAAATACTGTA